GGGGAACCCAGGGAGGGCGGGGGCCGCGCCCACCCCGACAGTGCCAGAGATCCAGCAGGATCTGGTGATGTTCTAAGGGAAATGCTCCGCAAACCCCCAACGAACAGAAACCGAGTACAAACAAGTGCTATGGGCCACTTTCAGCAACCCCTCCTCCCTGGCCCAGAGAGGAGAAGGAAGAGAGATGTGGTGGCACTTAGCTTAATTTATAGTTCAGTGACAGCAGGGACTAGTGTGGGCGTCCTCTGACCCATGGGCACTGCAATTTCCAATGTTCTGCCCTGATCTAAATCAGGCAGATAATATGCTTGGTTTAGGGACACCTGGTCCCCAATTTCTCTTGCTGAGCCTCCCAGGCTCACTATGGGTTTGGCACTGTCACTTCCATTTATAGACGAGGAAACCGAGGTTTGAACCCGGTTGCTTAAAGTCAGTCACTCAGCTATAAATGGCAGAGCTGGGACTTGGGAGTGATTTGGGATTTTCATATCCATGCCATGTGGACTGTCGAGCCTGAAAGCTAAGCCAGGTTTAGAAGCGAAGAGGAAACCTTGGGCCGCAGGGCTGTGCTTGCTACTTAACCTGTGTAGCCTGGTGAACTGGACTGCTATTCTCAATCTTTTGGCACCAGACACTGAGCATTACGGGACCAAGGCACAGAGGATCCGGTTTGTTTTACAGACTTGACAGGGTACGTAGCCCAAGGGAATACTCCTAAATTTATAAAAGCCTTTCCAAAATCAGTACAAAATTCCCTCCTTATTTTTATCTCTTTAAAAAATTAAATTTACTTTGTAGTTAGACTCTAGAGTAACAGGGCTCGTAGTCATCTTTTCACGTGCGCAAAGAAGGCCTCCTTCCTGTTTACCCTCCTTTGTGGCCCTCCTCCAGCTCACCTCCAAAATCACGATCTTAATCCAGGAGGCTGGTATGGGAAGCCCAGCCTAGGATAAGTGATGCGTTCTAGACTAGCCTGGGCTACACGTAAAACAAAACAAAATGAAATAAGACAGAACCAACCCTAAAACCAAACAGATGCTACAAACTCCTCTGTGACTCAACCCAGCCCTGCTGGTTAGCCTCAAAGACTTCCGGTGTCCCTCTTTGAAACACTATAGCCACATTTGCTGGATGGGGATGAAGTTCTCACAAGTAGACATCACACCAACCAGTGGCCTTAGGCAGAGCGCAGAGGGCACAACTCCGTATAGATGGATCTTGGGCAGTGTCTGTGGGAGATTGTTTACTAGAAACTGCTATAGCATGAAGAAAACAGCAGTGGGACCTGCTCTTCTGGGTATGAAAAGTGAGTGTGTGTGTGTGTGAGAGAGAGAGAGAGAGAGAGAGAGAGAGAGAGAGAGAGAGAGAGAGAGAGAGAGAGAGAGAGAGAGAGTAATCAACTCACACACTCATGTACACTCATGTAGAGTTAACCAACTTATGAGGGGCAGTACAGGCAGTACAGGACTCTGGCAAATATGAATAGATCTGTGGACTGTACTAATACAGGAAGGCCCTTGGCTATCCCTGGGAAGTGGAACTCCTAGGGGGATAGCATACCCCGACTTACAATAAGAAGTCATTCTTTTTTAGGTTTTGTTTTTTAAGAGTTGAAGGTGCTACCTCTTGTTTTAAAATGCCCAGCTTTAGTTATCAATAACATCAATCAAAGATATAAGAAATACCATCTTCTAATGGAAACAGCGTTTGGTGCTAGTGTTCAAACCCTGAGCCCCTGTACTTGTTAGGTACACACTACACCAAGGTGCTCAGATTCATCCCCTATTCTTTTTTCTTTTGAGGTGACTGTCACCACACAGTCAGGTGATGAATAAGAGAAGTTAGCTAGACCACAAAAGAATTCACTAGAGAAGAACCACAAGAACAAAGATTTGATTTTGTCCTGGGGTTCAGGACCTTCTGCCTCAGCCTTGCAAGAAGGTACAACCCTGTGGGGTTGTAGGAAATTTACCTCCCTGGACCTGACTTTTGGTCTATTAGCAGAAATTGTAGCTGTGGTGCCTGAGGAGATGGGTCAGTTGGTAAAGTGCTTAACTTAATATGCAAGAGTACCTGAGTTCAAGTCCCATAACCCATGAAAAAGCTGGAACTGGTGACTCACACTTCTAATGCTAGTGATGAGATGGAGAGATAGATAGGTCTCTGGAGCTTACTGGTTGACTAGCCATGCCTACTTGATGGAGTTCCAGACCAATGAAAGAGCTTGTTTTAAGCAAAAGGTGGAAGACACCTGAGGAATGACATCTGAAATTGTTCTTTGATCTATGCACACAAATGCACATGCACACACACATGCATACACATCAGAGACTGAAAGACAGACAGACACAGAAAGACACAGACACACACATACACACAGACACACACACACAGACACACACACACAAACACACAGACAGAGACAGACTCACAGAGAAAGACAGAGACATATACACACATAGAGAGAGACAGAGACAGACACAGACACACACACACAGATCACACACACACACACACACACACACACACAAACACACAGACAGAC